CTTCTTAACAGCGGTTGCAAGCGCCTGCGCAGGACTCTACTGCACAGAGCTCAGGAGAGCCAGAGCAGTACCTGCGGCTGAGGGCTCCAGTCCCGTGTCACAGGCCCGAAAGGGGCAACAAAATCGTCGCGTGTGCTCTACGGGAGGGTAACAAGGGTCCTGGGAAATGTCAGTCATCCGCAAGGGCTTCCCTCCCGTTGGAGACCAGCAAGTACCTTTCTAGTGCAGGAAGGGGAAGAAAAGACGACTTGGTTGCAGAGGGACTGCTGAGCAGCTCCGTGGAAGCGAAAGCCGATTGATGAGAGTAGGGAGCAGCCGTCCTCTCTGAGGAAGGCAGGGGAACCTGGGAGGCCCGCTGGGCTTTTCTGCCAACAAAGAGGCAGTGAGGAAGGAAAGGAGGTCTCGCGGGTCCAAAAGAGAACTCGGTGGCAGCACTTTGTCCTTCTGCTCTTGAGTGCTGTGCTGACTGGGAAGACGCGAGGTCTAGGCGTGGCCACAACAGGTCGTGCTCCAAAGAGGGGGATTGCGACGTGAGGGCCGAGGCACTCCCGAGCAACGGAGCTCGACTGGGGCTGGCCAAAGCGCTGTGGTCACGCACAGCCGCCCTCTGAACCCGCGACGCTGGTTCCCTGGCTCCGTTCACCTCTGTGGGCACCTAGCCAACGGAGCTCTCCGATGCCCCGGCGTCGGAAGGCCGAGGGAAATCTCAGAAAGCCTGGTGAGAGGGAAACCCTGAGCGGCAGCGTTTGGCTTGGAAGGTGGGTGGCTGGCTGGCAGAAGAGGGTGGCTGAGGACACTCCAAAAGCAGGAGCTGAAGGAGGCAGCCTGGGAAGCCTCTTCTAGTCACTCGCAGCAGGGTCAGCCGGCTAGTATTGTAGAAGGGCCTCTGGGGCTTTCAGGTTTCCATCTTGGTCCCGAATTGCATTTTGGACCTGGATTCTCCAATACGGGATTTCGCATTCCTTTCTTCCTACTCTGGTAGTGCCTGACACACAACGTCCGGTTTTTGTCCTGGTGTCGCAGGTGAGTTATGCAGAGACGCCATCGTTGGGGCCCTGGAGGTTCTTGGCGTGAGATAGCCTCATGGATATGTGCTAGTATGTTAGGATCTGAGAGAATTCTGGAGTTTGCTTTGGTTGACAAGAGGTATTCTTATGGTTGTGAGAGGCGGCTTTACTCGGTATTGGCCTTTCACGTCTTGTTTCAGAGCAGACATCGTTCTCACTGGATCTCTCTCAGGGTTGGCAACATTATCTGAGCACAGGACCATTGCCTTGGGCCACTGGGCCTAGAATGCTCTGTGCCTTGAACCTTGTCCTTGTGGAGCCCTGCATTGGAGCCCCAGGACCCTGCTCCGCTGCCCAAGCCCTGGCAAGACATTTCTGGAGTCTATAGGGTGCTTTATTCCTCTATAACTTGCTATGTAATCTCAGGTGTCTTACAGCAGACTCACAGAAATAGTTTTCTATCTGTGAAACAATAAGTTCCCATCTTCTCCTCCACGGTATGGGGAAACGACAACACCGTTCAATCCAGGCAACTCTTTCCATGTTAGCACCAGACATTGGGACACAGTGTTACATGCTGCAGACTCGCTGGCTAATTTACTCCTGGAAAGCAACTGAATTTCTCTACTTCTTCCTCTGTTTACTTGTCCCTGCAAACAGGACAACAATCTACTTCATACAATTCTTGAAGTCATATACAACTTAGGTGAAGTATGGAAACCAATCCGCATTTCACACGTAGTCCTGGTTTCGGCTAGGACAGAGTTAGTTTTCTTTCTAGTAGCTGGTATAGTGCTGTGTTTTGGATTTAATACTAGAAGAATGTTGATAACACCCTGATGTTCTAGTTGTTGCTGGGTAGTGCTTAGATTAGCCAATGACTTCTCAGCTCTCAGCTCCGCCAGGTGCACAAGAGGATGGGAGGGGACACAGCCAGGACAGCTGACCCAAACTGTCAAAAGGGCTATTCCATACCATATGACGTCATGCTCAGTATATAAGCTGGGGGAAGAAGAAGGAAGGGGGGGACATTCGGAGTGATGCCATTTGTCTTCCCAAGTAACAATTACGCATGATGGAGCCCTGCTTTCCTGGAGATGGCTGAACATCTGCCTGCCCATAGGAACTGGTGAATGAATTCCTTGCTTTGTTTTGCTTGCGTGCAAGGCTTTTGCTTTCCCTATGTAAGGGACTAGAAGCTTGTCTCAACATTGGTGGCAGGCGAGCTTAACCACCAAAGCCTAATCGCCACAGCAACTGAGTGGGGCAGTTTCAGCCCATTGGGTCCCACCCCACAGGAATGTGTGGCCTGTTATCTTGGAATACACATCCTCTGCGCATGCGCCCGGGCCCAGAGTTAACTGACAATGGGGAGGGGGCTCGGACCCCCTAGAACTTTCGAGCATACTCTTAATGACGGTACTGGGCATGCGCCCCACTGCCGAGTGGGAGGCGTGGGTATGCAAAAGAGTCATCGACTATGCAAGAAGACAACCCTATAAAAGGGGAACTGGCAGAGACCACGAGGGAGCGTCCAGGAACATCTACCCTCCAGCAGATTTGAAGATACATCAGGCGCATCAGACCATTTATTGTTGGCTGAATAAAGTGACTTGGCACTTGACTCCGTTTCGAGTCTTAATTCTGTTTCCGAGAATGTAAAAGGAACCTTAGGCACGATAAAATATTGGAATTAATCAGAAGTTAAGCCCAGCCGCCCCCAACCTCCCAGAATTATCTGAGGTCGGTTGGAAAGCAAGGGGGTTTAACCTCTGCCAAATTGTTCAACCCAATAGTGGATCGTGACACCCTATTAAACTGTCTTTGACTCAACCCTTGAGTTTTCTCACTTTTACTCTTCTGATTCTCTCCCCCGTCCCATTGTGGGGGGAGTGAGCGAGTGGCTGTGTGGTGCTTAGTTGCCAGCCGGGGTTAAACCACGACACACGTACACATGGTTATAGCACTGGCAGAGCTAAAGAAACAGCCTTTTCTTCACAATCACAAGTCTGGACCTGCCCAATTCTTTGGCATACAATGCACCTTGTGAAGCCTGGACCTACACAGAGAGAGGAACTGCACAACCTGAGCCAGACTTTTCCTACTTCCCGCCGCAATAGGGCTGCAGACAACAGGATTGTCCCAGGCAGAAAATGTCTCGTCAGTGACTGCAGACTTACCTAACACATGGTCAAGAAACTGCCCTGCCTCTCCAGTTGGATCTAAACAGCCTGAAGAATTAAACAAGAAGGGATTCTCAGTGGAAGAGACTTGTACAAGCCTCTTGATTGCTGACCATTCACCTCTACCAATGCTCACAGTCATTTCCTAACACACTTGAGCTTCCCTTCCTTCTGCAAGGGAAAGATTCTGTGAAAGTCTAGGAAGGAGCAGGAAGGGTAGGGAAGACCAAAACCTTCCCTTGCTAGCCACCTTCCTGAAGGGCTATGAGGATGTCTTATGGAGAAAAAAAAAGCAACACAAGGGAAGGGTAGAGCAGAGGCAATTTACCCTACTATAACTGCTACAGCTACACTCTTGCACATACATGAAAGGGGGGTTTGACTACAAGAAAACCACTTTATGCTGTAAATATCTGTAGCCCCCAACATCAAGCCCACTGAGCTCTCCTATATGGTGTCAGGCCGCACAGTGCTTATCTCCCCTTTGAGCAGGGACACCTCTCAAAGTTAATCCTCGAGGTCAAGAGACCACTTACCCAGCATCTGAGAATCTATAATGAGGTAAGTGACATTTTACACTAGGCATAAAAGTATATTGTATGCTAGCAACATTTATATATCCAGCTATAGCATAATTATTAGGAGTGTAGTAAGCAGTAGAGTGTGTAACCACTGTCTAAATCATCATCTAATCATTGTCTAAATTGCCATATAAACCATTGTAAAACCACTGTTTAGGACTTGTGGGTGACTTGGTGGTTGGAAGCTGTCTCAGGTATAATGATCATGAAATGATAGACCTCCTTTCCATCCTCACTGCCTCTTTGTTGGCAGAAAAGCCCAGCGGGCCTCCCAGGTTCCCCTGCCTTCCTCAGAGAGGACGGCTGCTCCCTACTCTCATCAATCGGCTTTCATGCTGCATTAAGGCCTACCAGGAAGGCGCTTAAGGCGCACACCGTCAGACCAGCTGTCTGACGAGCTGCCTGAAGAGCAGAGGCTTGTCCAGATCTGGACAGCCACCCCACGGGCTTTCCTTCGCGCTTTGGCCACCACTGTTCTTTGCTTGAGCCTTCTAGCTCTCCGCCAGCTTCCACGGAGCTGCTCAGCAGTCCCTCTGCAACCAAGTCGTCTTTTCTTCCCCTTCCTGCACTAGAAAGGTACTTGCTGGTCTCCAACGGGAGGGAAGCCCTTGCGGATGACTGACATTTCCCAGGACCCTTGTTACCCTCCCGTAGAGCACACGCGACGATTTTGTTGCCCCTTTCGGGCCTGTGACACGGGACTGGAGCCCTCAGCCGCAGGTACTGCTCTGGCTCTCCTGAGCTCTGTGCAGTAGAGTCCTGCGCAGGCGCTTGCAACCGCTGTTAAGAAGGACATCTTGGCTTGTGCGGCAAGAAGGGAGCCTTCGGCTGGTGCAGCAGCAGTCCTGTTGGGGCACGGGACCCGGAACTGGGCAAGGGGGAAGGAACGCCCTTGGGCGACTGCTGCCAACAGTGTGCGGGGGTTCCAGCAGAGAGGAGCCAGCCTTACCGTGGAGAGGTAGGTGAGGACGTGGCATAGGGTGCAAGGGGTAGAGCAGCCCCACGGACACAGGGGACACAACTCAGCCCCACTCTGCCCAAGCCAACGCTCCATAGCGACTCCCCACGAGAAACCCCCACCCGCTGCAGCAGCTCCCACAGTTT